TAGAAATACACCTAGGACATATCCTTTCTTGGCTATTCTGCGCTCAATGGTGTGAGTAACTTTATGAAGTGCCGCTTCTGTGGAGCAGCCCTTCTTAAAGCCGAATTGTCGTTTGTTGATATCATTAGCTATGTTGAGGTCATGTTGCATATGCCATAAGATCACTTTCTCCTGCAACTTTAACATCACAGGCGAAAGAGTGATCGTTCGAAATGACTTAGCTTTGTTGTAGTCGGTTTTTCCAGGCTTAGGGAGGAAGATTCCAAGAGAGTCCCTCCACAAAGTTGGGATGTGTTGCGTTTCATGGTTTTTTGTCATAATGTTTTTTGTTATGACTTTGATATGAGCCCAGGCTTTCTGGAATATGATAGGTTTAAGAGTGTCAGGTCCTGCAGCCTTCAAGGGATCGAAGGATAGTTGAGCCTTTTCGATTCTTTCAGGGCTGTAGATTTTGTCTAGTAAGTCTGTGGAGATGGGTAAGGGGCCGAGAGGCGGAACTGGCGGATCAGTAACACTCTCCCTGAAGTGGGTTTGTGTCATGACCTCCAGTGTCTCCTCTGTGTTTTTGGTGAGTTCGCCATTTGGTTTATAAACGGCTTCAAGTTTGTTATTGGTGTCAGTACAGGTTTTCAGAATCTTGTTCATCCTTCCAGATTCCTTAACCGATTCTGTGTCTGCGCAGAATTTCCGCCACGCATTGCGCTGAGAGTTGGACAGGATCTTGTTGTATTGCTTGTTGCTTTCTCTAAGAGCGAGCCACGAAGCATCAGTTTTGATTCGACGATGATGGAGATATATCCAGTGGCAAAGTAGTTGAATGGGGCGGGGGAGGACAACAGAATAAATTCAACAGAATCATTTTACATTAACAAAAAAGAACACGTTATTACTATGTCGGTTGGTTAAAATCTTAGAATGATGATATTAACTTACTAGGGATTGTTTGCAGGAAGTATCAGACAAATTATCAACTCATTCCAAAAATGAATTTCTAAGCACCGTACACAGATTGGTTTGAGTTCTGTCTATGATTTAATGCCATTTTTGGCCATTTGGCCCCTTTTTTCTCACTGACTTTCAAACTTAACCGACTTTTAGCGTACCAATAAATACTGCAGTTGATGAGTCTTATCCAGCATTTAGATATCACTAAAACTAACATCGTTACTTTAAATCAGGATGTAGATAGGACTTAATAACATGCGATCGAAATCGTACCGGTCACTTACCTCCCGAAATTTTACCAATGGTTCTGGGTATTCCAAAACATTTTCTATCGTTACAGATGAATCATGAACTCTGTCGGTTAACTCTGATGTGATGGTCCGATTCCACTGAATCTCAAACGGCGCTAAGCCCGTCTTGACGAGATTCCATCTCAGAGGAATTTTAAAAGGATTAAGATATAGATAGTACGGCGAAATACCCCATGGTGGCCGGGTCGAGCACTAGTAGGAAGCAGTATACAAATTAAATGCCTTACCAACTCGTCTAATTTACCGCGGCATCGGTAGTTACTTGATGAATTAATATCGCTGAAATCAACACTGATCTGATGAGTTCATAGTTCATAAATCGATTATTTAAAAACTATCATAGCTGATTTTAAAGCACATTCGTGAATAACTGGACGGATGTAGACTGTCCCAGTAATTGTTACCCGATACGTACCGAGGTGTCGCATTCTTGATGAAAGATTGGATACGGTAATCCAATTAACTTTATAGATTACGGTTAAGTTAAATTGAGTGCATGATCGCGCGCGCGCGGCGCCTTCTTGTTACAGTAGCTACCGCACGATATACGCTTTCCATACAGCTACGGCCCACAAAACTAGCAATAGGAAGAGGATACTACCATCACAGTTCCTTAATTACGTCATAATACTGTAGTTGAGTATGTATGGCAACACAGTACTGGCGGGTATAATAGCTGAGTATAACTTACGGATTCAGCTGTGGCTTACTAGTACAGGGGTTACCATACCGTACACTACACTTGCATTGTGTTCAATTAATTTGTAAGTACAGGGTTTCATATTAACTGTTCGGGCTCTTGTTTGACAGACATGGCTTGTAACCGAGCTGCTCCCAGACAGACTTCAAAGGAAAGTGATGGACACAGAGATGTGACACAAATCACTGCAAACGGATGTTCGGTTCTTCCGGGGTTTAAACTGCATGTCAATGATGGAATCTATCATTCGCAAAACCTATTTTAGTGCACTGTAGACGACAATGATATGAGGAAATATCCATGACATATTCATCTTCTTACGATTTGATCGAGAACTATAGTCCAAAATATCTATATCAGAATATATTCAGAATATATTCATTATCCCCTGGATATAACTTAAATAAGGCTTGAAACCTCTGAAAACTTCTTAAATTCTGACAGGACCGACGAGACGATTATAAAATGGGAGACTTTGGAATTGCATGTTGTAAAAGAGCGTTTAGTTCAACCATTTTTCTGAATCGTCAGGTTTAAGTTGATGTCGCAAATTATACGCCGATATGCGACGTCAAAACATTTTCAACATTTTTGTGACGTCGGAACTTCACAGTGTGACGCAAATTAAATGACGAAATTCAGATAAATTTGATTCAAAACTTGACATCTGAAATAAAATGCCTCAATGTCAAAATTTCGTTGTTAAAAACACCATGCCAACACCATGACACCATTTAATGATTTTTGTGTGTACTTACAGAGGCACTTTAAAATTTTCGAACATGCATCAAAATTTAGTCGGCATACAATAGTGCCATAAAAATACTGTACAAAAGCTGTGTTGTAATATGGTTTATATGCTCTAGATAGGTCACAAATAGCTATTTATAGTACTTCGTGGCAATATCATATTAACAATAATCACGCAGTTTCAATGTTTTCATCATAAAAGTTTTATGATGAAATAATAATTTTAAACAACTGAAATGAGCACTGTGTGGCACATCAATCCAAACTTGGATATTCCGTCACTCAATAGCTCTAAATTTCGATCAATCCCTCCCTCCCATTTCGTGACAAAATACATCACTTAGCTTCGTGTCCTGACAAATTTTAACTTCCACTGGCACTAAAGAAATTTAAAAAATGAACGTTGGTATCTTGAAAAATGGTTAAGACATCAGCAATTGAAAAGAAAGTCTTTACAAAGTAAATATCCGGTGATATTCAACACTAAATTATTGTAACAAAACAGCAACTTTCTGCCTCCACCATAATAGCTTAATAGGGGTCAGGGGACAATCACGACTAGATGGGGCCTGTTACTGTAACTGCGTATAACCCCTGCATGATCACATACCACAAGGGCACCTTGATTAAAAGTAACCCCGAGCAGCGAGCTCCTTATAGAACACATCAAATCAGAACTTACAACATTTAAGCAAACCAAGTGCTAAGTCTTCGGATAACAGCAGAGAACATGCGATGTAAGCAAATGACAATCTAATGCACATGCACCATGATAATAATGATATTAGTTCGATAATCGATATCATGTTCAGAAGAGCGCGTTATTTGTGTTTTCAAAATACCGGTAATAAGGAGAACTTTTCAGCAGTTCACGGCAGTTTTATCTCCGTCATAAGATTGGATTGTTGTAATTAAATATGCGCTCACTATATCGATTGTTATAGTTGTGCTGTCGCCTGTCAAGCTGTAATTACCATAAAAGGTAGGATATTTAGTAATCACCCGATTTGACAATCTAATAGTTTTAATAGTGCAATTGTTGATCATGTTCCGCAGTTTTATATATTTTATCGGCTGTCAGTTTTGACAAATTAGTGTTAATATATTAATAGGACTTGTTAATGGAATTCTCCTTGTCATGAATTCTCAAAATGACATCGTTATTTCATTTCAGGTTAAAAAGTTCGGAAATTTGAGGTCGAAACCCAAGTTTTTGAAAAATCGAACAAATAAAATGGGATGACCAAAAATGAGTTCAATCAAGAGGCAAAGTAAGTTTTTAAAATGCCAAAAAAGATAAGCTCCCCCTAGCCTGCCCTCAACAACTTAAAATAAGGCTGATGCTCACTTACAAAAACTAACACATCGCACCTCACGAAACAAAGAACTTGAAAACACTCCTGATAATACAAGAAGAAGGTGACTAACAATCTGAATAACGGTGACTAATGCTGCACCCTACGCGTGAGCCACGTGGTCCGTCACGTGGCGCTCAATGACAAACTGAAAATTAGCGTAGGTATCAGAAACATAGAGCATTTAAAGAGGGCATATAGCTTTACATATATAATGCTGGTCACAAGTTTAAGTAAACGGTTCGGAGATCACGAACTAAGCAGTGCATTTATCCAAACGTCTGCGAATGTTGCAAAGTAGTCATATCTTATATAAAGTAGTATAGGCGTTACCGGCTTCCTGTTAACCAAATTGTCAGAAGATTGGATATCCTTGCAGAATGCAGATATTACAAATAAATTATATAAATTTCTGTCTGCAAACAATAGGGTGTTTCGTACTTCCAGGGTATAATTTGATTCCGATAAACAGTTTTTAGGATGATTTACTACACGTCGTCAATTTGCAATTAAAACGGTTTTGTTCATTTTACAGAGACCGTAATTTTCTCTTGGAATTTGAAAATTCTTTGAGCTGAGGCTACCATACTTAACAGACCCGTGAAAATACTATCAACAAGGGGTTCTTGAAAAGTTCAGTTTAGTTAGATTCAACTCCTGAGACGACTACCAGTTCAAAAAATCATCAAATCAAAGTAATAGAGGTTTACTTTAATACTTAAATTATGGGCATAATCAAAGTGTATCAAAACAGAGGTTATTGAAGTGAGGTTACAGTGAGGTTTTAGTGAGGTTCTAGTGAGGTTTTAGTGAGGTTTTAGTGAGGTTCTAGTGAAGTTTTAGTGAGGTTTTAGTGAGGTTTTAGTGAGGATTTAGTGAAGTTCTAGTGACGTTTTAGTGAGGTTTTAGTGAGGTTTTCGTGAGGTTTTAGTAGCTGACCTGTTTCTGGGGTGGTTCCTCACTCTCCTTCCGAGACTGTTCCGTCACAGCACGTATAGTGTTATCGTAATCCTGCAATTTGTACTAAAATGATGTGACACAGAGGCTTATCACTGAAACATTTAACTAAAACATTTAATACAATGTACAAAATGTCAAAACAGTCATTTATTTAACGAATTAACAGTTTACTGCTGTATGTAGTATTTTAGACAGATACGTCTGAAAAATCGATTTACCGACACAACGAGCTTTTCCAAACTTGTCCACGTGTCTTAAGGCCATTTTTAGCCACTGTCCCACTGTCCCACTGTCTCACTGTCCCACTGTCCCACTGTCTCACTGTCCCACTGTCCCACTGTCCCACTGTCCCACTGTCCCACTGACCAGAAGCTTTACTGTCCCGCTGTCCCACTTTCCCACTTTCCCACTTTCCCACTTTCCCACTGTCCCACTGTCCCACTGTCCCACTGTCCCACTGTCCCACTGTCCCACTGTCACACTGTCCCACTGTCCCACTGTCCCACTGTCCCACTGTCCCACTGTCCCACAGTCCCACTGTCCCACTGTCTCACTGTCCCACTGTCCCACTGCGCCACTGTTCCACTGACCAGAAGCTTTACTGTCCCACTGTCCCGCTGTCCCACTTTCCCACTTTCCCACTTTCCTTCTTTCCCACTGTCCCACTGTCCCACTGTCCCACTGTCCCACTGTCCCACTGTCCCACTGTCCCACTGTCCCACTGACCAGAAGCTTTACTGTCCCACTGTCCCACTGTCCCACTGTCCCACTGTCCCACTGTCCCACTGTCCCACTGTCCCACTGTCCCACTGTCCCACTGTCCCACTGTCCCACTGTCCCACTGTCCCACTGTCCCACTGTCCCACTGACCAGAAGCTTTTATGGATAATGCCGATAAAAATGCAATACTTCGCATTTTTCAGAATATTAAAAATGCATTGTAGCTGTTTGCAACTGTTAGCTGGTGAAAATTTAAAAGTTTAACGGCTTTTCTTGTCTGGGAAATCGTAGACATTCTATTAAAAATTGTATTATTACTTATATTAGTTTCCGGTATTGCATCATCACAATGATGCATTCATGAACACTGAACAGTCGGTCACCAATTAATAAAACAAACCGGAGCCTAATAACGAAAACTTTAATCTTTACTCTTCATGATCCAATCGTGATTGCTTGTTATATACGTGCATGATGTTGAACTTAATCAAGTAGACGAATATTATGCTTTTCTTATTGTTGCAATTCTGACCCAGTAAAGTGTCAACCACAAAATATCTCTCTAGCTATGCACCGGAGGTAGCAGCTATATTCTTATATTTACAGCCATGTAAAAGCCAGACATTGGTCACTCTTCTAAGTGTTAAGTACGAGATCATGCTTAAAACTTTTAACCAGCTGTAAAATCCAATCAAAAATTTAGAGGTTCCGTTTATTATAGTGGATACCAATTCAAATTCATAGTCGCTGTACTCATTTCAGCATGACGTCTTTACGAGGGCATTTCGGGGTCCCAGTTTTAAGGATATTGACAGAATTTGAAGGAAGATTGCTTTTTACAATTATATCTACCGAGAGACATTAGTATGCTTTTGAGGGGCATATTATGCTTTTGAGAGACATATTATTATAATTATGCTTTTAAGAGACGTATTATAATTTATAATGCTTCTGAAAGACACGAAAACGTTTTAACCTACGTCAACACATCAAAATAAGCGACTTAACAATGTGAAAGAACGTCACAAGTCTGCTATACTGCAATCCTTATTGAAATGTAGCTGAGACAATGACATTGTCCCACTTTCATTAAATATATCAAACCGGAGCTCGCGGTCAACATCATGTGTAAAATAATAAGCATAAGAATGGCAGACGGCAGGGACCTTTGTCCACACATTTGCCATATAAACAGACTACATTACATTTACAGACTACAAAGAGCCGGCTGATAATTATGACGGGCAACATAATATTGTAAGTAATATTATGTGGTAGTTAGTACGTCTACACGTCTACAGCACCCCTTAATGAGCTCACAGAATATTTTATACAACATTTGTAATTTGTGTATCTAGTTCTAGATCTATGAGACAGTGAATTTCAGAATTTCAACACTGAAATTCTGTGTATCATCACAGTATCTTAGTAACTTAAAGTGATGCAAATTCTTGACTCTCACCCCTCACACGTACAACCATTGCATTTTAATGGCTTTTAAATTCCTAGAAATCTGGACCACCGTTTCAGGAGCTATTAATAAAAAGTTTTATCAATTTTTATGCTTTTACGAACAAAGTGTTGATAATGATAGGACATTCAAGCGGGATATAATATTACCTTGTGTTTAGGATCTTTGCACTGGCTGTCGGTTGCGTGAACACTTGCAGCACACCCCATGTGACCTGTAAAGATAGACTGGGTGAGAAAAGTCACAAAAACGATCTAAACATTTATAATTTGGATAAACGATTAATTCACAAACAAGTAAAGGGTCCCCTGACCTAATATTCCTCTCTATTATAGGTTTTATGAGAAAAGGTTATAGTGTTAATATTCGTTTATTGCAAGTGAAACAAAAGAGAGGCCAAGATTATCATGTTCAGCGCCAGTCAGATAAATATAACGAAAGATATTAAGAAGGGAGGAAGAAGGGATTCCACGAGGATTTGGTTTGAAAAAATGAGATGAATTAATTGTTAGATCACGTCACCACTCCCAATGGCATTTCCAAAATCTTGTGGTGAGACAAAATTCTAGAAAGTGATTGTGAAGCATCAGAATAACACGCCCAGTCATTCTACCCTATCTTATCTTGAAGGAAAGGGGACGTGGACATTATATAATACTAAGAAAATAGTTCCAAGGCAAATATTTGGCTGTTCCTGATTATATTTATACTAAACTAGAAAGATATTCAAATGAGTCGGTAAACAGTCTGATCAGAAACAAAAAGGAACTGTAACTTAAATAGATCACGATTAAGAAACTTATAATAACTGTAATATGTGATAACTACATCAGGACTATTTCTGGTGTCTAATATCGCTACTATCGACAGAATGCCGCCTAAAATAAGTAATATCTTCTCTTTACATCACAACCTTACCTCTCCCCAAAATGTGCAAGCTGAGTAGTTGGAATTCAAGTCAGGTCGGAATTCTGTGTAATGACGAACATTGCATAGCATATTCCGTTAATATGTTGTTTGCCGTCAGTTATATCAATGTGAATTGGAATGGTTTAGGGTTTCAAACCCCTTATTGGACTTATAACACGATAGATATTGTGAGGCATGGATTGGCTCGAGGTAAATCTCATGATTGAGATTACGACCCAATATTTTTCTCTGGTGTAGTAGGTATCCTGCAACCCTGAATTATCCCTAAATTTTCATTATTCTAAATTTGTGTAATTTAATACCGACCCCAAAAATACCATGAACCAATTAAAATCCAGTAAAAATTCAAGTCATCAATTACTCATGGACACAATTTCCTAATTTTGTCTTCAACCAGAAACGCCTGATTTTTTAATCGCACGATTTTCGAAAGCTCCTGAACAATAAATTAGTTTTCAGAACCCTAAACAGTTCTGACACAGTGACTGTGACTGCGGTTATCCAGTGCTCCAGTGGGTAATCTCGATTTTGTAAACGTCTAGGGAAGCTTCAAACATACGCAAAAAACAGTACTAAGAACTACTTAGACTGCTAGCTTCATCAAATAATAAGCGTTTGAAATTAAATCGAACCAACTTGTGAAGTGATCATATCAAGGTTTGATAATAATAATGGGAGTAGGGACCTGTGTTCAGACAGGGAGAGGGATCAGCTGGATTACTCTCTACCAGGAAAACAATGTACCCTGACACGCTTACATGAGCCACTGGGCAGCAACAAAGGGATCTACTAAAAAGAGAGGCGCTTACGTCACTTTTATAGAGAAAATATCGGGCCCGGTCCCACAAAGGGAGCGCAGTCTGGGCTATCATCATTTTAATACTTGGCTAGAGGACTGGTTAATGTGGTGGATTGAGTATTTCTTGTTGGTGATGACTAATGATAGTTTACTTTGTGGTCGCAAACGTTTTGTTTTCGACTTTATATTTTTTGTTTTATTGTTTTACTAAGGTGGATTATCCCGTACGTTAAAACCCCCAGTTACAAAAACCCCGACTATATAGATCGGATGATATGAAGTTGACTGATGACGTCACAGAACCGGCTGGTCACTACACGTATAATGGAACTAGTTAGTCACGCTCAAAACTGGTTAGATTGTTAGAACGGAGAAAAAGCAATGCTTTGTTAAAATGAGCTCGTAATCTGATGTTTATCTCCGAACTGTAGAACTGAACAGAAAGAAAGAATGTTAGACGGGTCTTGAGAAAAACTGGTGTATGGTTACTAGGATGGTTACTAACTGTTTACTATGGTTACTAACTGGATGTGGAATAACACATAGCTGTCCCCACCCAGCTGTCCCTACCCAGCTGTCCGAACAATCATAACAATGTTAGCGAAAATTTACAATCTTAAAAATAAATTGATTCACTGAAAATACTAATATATAATAAATACTATATATCAATACTATATATAATAGTATCAGGCGCTGTTCCTCGCGATTGTTTTGAGAATACAATCATTTTAAATCGCATAATATAAACGTTTGTCATGTTAGTGTGAATTTAGCTGCCGAGAATGTCAAAAATTGACCGACTAGAAGGTTCCAGATCTACAAGCTTCACTTGGTCTCGAAGACTCCGTGCTTAAGTGTGCTGAGAAAATGGCTTCCAACAAATTATCAATTTGTATGAAATCTAAGACATATTGAATAGCGCATCAAAAAGATTCCAAGATTCCTCCCATTATCAGGCAAAAGCAAAATTAACTATATGATGTAAGTGTTCACTATAACTATATTTTACAAGGCACGGGATTTTTTCCAGTTATTTTAGGAAGAGCAAGAGATGAAGAGAAAGAATCTGCGTGGGAAGCATTGTTTGTTCGTACGTCACTGCACGTGCAAATGTTCAATTTTGTTCCGTAAGAAATTATACTGCATTGTACTACATTGTACTGCTAATTGTACAATTTGAGTTGGATTTGAAAATTGAATGAATTTGCAACTAATTCTTCATAAATGTAATACTTAAAATGTAGCTATGTACATAATACAGACCAACAATAAAACAAACCAAGTGGTCAATGCACATCCTCCAAGATCAAGATGAAGTTAATTGTCAGGATTAGAGCTGGTCGCAGTGTCACTAAAATACTTGCTCTATAAATTTAAAGAGCGTATAACTTCAGTTTTGTAATTCTACCCGCCAAGTTTGTCTGTGCCAGAGCCAAGAAATATAGTTGGGTTTAAGATTAAGCTCCTGCTTCAGATTTCTGCCACCACGAATGATATAAAACATGCTGATATCGCGTCCCAGCTGGTAACGATATCACTAACTATATTATAAAGCATTCCGTTTCCGCACATCAGTTTAGTCTACTGGCGTTACGCTTACTGCGAGTTTACCAGTATATAATAATGAATATAATATAATGCTTCTTAGAAGATCCTGGATCATTCTTCACAGTGTATCCGTTTTACGGCAAAGTAAGTCGTATAAAAGTTGTTTTAGTTCTTTATTAACTAATTATAAACCCCTCCGGGATAGAATAAGATTCTGATAATCCCGGCTCCCGCTAAATAGATTCTGATAATCCCGGCTCCCGCTGTTAGTTTTTTCCCGCTGAATAAATAACCCCGGCACAGCTTTTATAATCCCGCCCCGCTAATTTGGCTCAACAAGATTTGTTTTGTTTTGATATTCCATGAGAATTTAAACCGCGTACTGTCACGTGTTTTGATGACGTGTATCACGTGACTAACTACTACGACGCGCATTGGTAAAAAATGTCACGTGACCTATGGCTTAACGTAAGAACTATAAATACACTCGATCTACGTATCGGTCTAATTGCAGGCGCTGGCAAAACTCCAGCACACTACATTACTTAAACTCTTACATTAATTGGACCAGTTCCAAAACTTGTCTCGACGGTTACATTTGATTTTGTCCGGTTCGGTTAATTTTGTCGAGTTTGATATAAGCCATGTATTATAGTCGTCTACTTTGATGAACTTCATGACACGATATTATTATTAGCTTTTATCGCTTGCCAGGCTTAACTCGACGCCCCTTATCGATATTCATATTCATTCAACGTTCTGACTGAGGAATAATGTTTAGATATAACGCCAATTTCAAAAGTCATAGTACCTTAGTTGTATTTATTTGGAAGTCCCCAATTCCATTTCATATTTTCCATGATGATCTCATATAGCTAGAATTAAGAGTAAAATGTCAAATTTGTTGGTCCTAGCACTAACCCGGAGGGGTTTATAACACATAACACCGGCACGCTTAAGTTATATTAAAATAACCCCTCGTGCTAAAGCACGTCGGGGTTATTTTCATAATAATCCCTCGTGCTCCGCACTCGAAATTATTATAAATTTTTCCCGCGCGTCGCGGGAAAAATTGAAATATAATCCCTGCGCATGCCGGGGTTATGTGTGTTGTATTACTATACAACAATATCATCAACAATATTGCAACTCCCTCCCTCCCTCCCTCCCTCCCTCCCTCCCTCCCTCCCTCCCTCCCTCCCTCCCTCCCTCCCTCCCTCCCTCCCTCCCTCCCTCCCTCCCTCCCTCCCTCCCTCCCTCCCTCCCTCCCTCCCTCCCTCCCTCCCTCCCTCCCTCCCTCCCTCCCTCCCTCCCTCCCTCCCTCCCTCCCTCCCTCCCTCCCTCCCTCCCAGGGGCGTGCCCAGGGGGTGGCGATGGAGGCGGTCGCCGCCCCCTTTTTGAAATGTTGACCTATAATTTTTTGTCGAAAATTGCTTTATATAGCAAAAAAATATTTTTATAACAAATTTTATAAAAATTTTCACAAAAAAATTAAACGACATCAAACACAAGTATTACTTTTTAAACATATGTACTAATTTCGAACTAATTGAATAAGGCCGTTACATATGCCTTGTGCATACATTTTCCATGGAATGGCTGCCCTAATTCTAAGTAGCCACTCCTTCATGGTTGGGTGGGAATCACATTAAGAAACAGTTCAAGCTTAAAAGAGTCAAGAGATTAGTCATTAGTGATTAGAGAGAGGCAGATTAATATGGGAAAGAGGAGCTAAAGTATCTACTTTGATCTAGTATCTTCATGTACAATGTTAGATGGCTGATGATATCCACTTGGCATCTAGGCTGATAAAGTTCAGCAATTTCTAATGACCAAGTGTGTATCAACTGCTTTGAACCTTCTGTAATGATATCCTTTAATCCTATTGGCTTAGCATATAATTCTATAATTTAGTCAACAAATTTTCCGGGGGC